AAAAAAAAAATTCAAAAAAGAAAACACCAAACAAAACTCAATTTCATGATACATAGATGGTAAAACCATAAAGCTAAGCCAAAAAAATGACGATCTGGTCATCTGTGGGTACAGAAAGGAGGTGACATCAGGACACACGAGATTGCCCAAGGCCTATTTATTCACCTGGGTGGTAGGTCCCTGGGTGTATATTCTTATTAATTAAATGAAGCATAGAACAAATTATTTTATTTACAGAACTATCTTTGCTTATTCAGACCTTATCACTCAATCCACTTAGATTTTCAACGAAGACAGTAAAAATATGACACCGAAATCATGGAATAAAATTCTTGAATGCTTAGGCAAACCAAGATTATATGGCAGCAAGATTCTATAAAGGAATCAAAAGAGAAACAGCTCAGAAAAGAAGCCGTTTTCGCCCACAGTTCACAAGGGAACTCACATTCAGAAGATGACACATATTCTCAAGCTTGGGGATCAGCAGGCAACACCCCCCTGTCATGACCCCTCTGAAGAACAGGCTGACCTCAGGGTAAAACAGTCTCTGACCTAGGATCTGATTTTGTACCCTCCATCCTGCCCTCTCCCCCCCACTTTCTTTCTAATCTTGTTCACTTCTCCCTATCAAAGAAAACCCTCTTCTGCCTAACCTTTGCGATGCCTGCAGATCTTATACTTGGTGCTTTCAGGCTTTTGCAGTATTCCTTCATTACGAATTCATTCTTTACCTAAATCCAGATGTGTTTCATTTGACAATGTCTAAGAAACAGCACCAGGATAATAACAATTACAACCTCAGACAGGGCATCCCCCCCAACCCCATCTGCCTGTGTGGGTCCCCAGCTTTCCAGAGCTCTGAGCTTCTCTCAGTATAAAGGGCTCCTCCCAAGGTCACTGTGAGCAGCTGAGACACCAGCAGGGAGACTCCCCTGGAAGAACCAACTGGGCCTGCAATGACTGCCCTTCCCAGGCTCAGGATTGGCCTGAACTTGCAGTCACTGGCCTCAGGCTTCTGTTCCCAGTCAAAGCTACTCACTTACTTTTATGGCAGAAAATACCCAGTGTTTACAGAATCCAGCAAAATCACTCAAATTCAGTTTTTATGTTTACACCAGGGAAGGAAATGATAAGGTATTTACATTTCATACCTCAACAGAAAAAGCAAAAGTATCTATCCTTTTCAGACACTAAACATGTCATTTAATTATTTCCATTATAACAAATCATAGGGTAAACAATTATATGTGAACAGTTCTAGGAGTTGCCAAGTCCCAACCCAGATAATTTAGCATTAAACTCAGCAGAGGAACGGATGTTTTGGTGAATCTTTGTAACTCACCAATTTATCTACCACATTTAATTTGTGGGAATGTATTCATTTTTCTGCAGCCATAATAGAAGAGAGTTTTACCCTATTTCTCTTCCTTGGTAGCATTCCTAAGACTAAGCCCTGGAATTCCACTGAAATTACCCCACCAAAAAAGAATAGACATGAGAAACTTACTACACATGCTCTGGGGAAGAAAAAAGGTAAATAGGAATTTTTAACAAACGTAATCTAAAACTCGATATTTAAATTTTTTCTGAAATCCACCTCTTTTGAAAATTTTATCTTTCAAGCTCTACTGATAAAGCATATTGATAGCTATTTAAAAAGAAAAATCTGAAAACTGCAAGAAGTGAGCAAATCTTTCCCAGGGGACAAACTGAGAAAGGGGTTAGTGCTGACTAGGAACAGAGATATGTCTGAATCAAGTGTCAGATCAACTCATCCCATTATGGGGGAAATCCTCTCACCCCCATCCTGCTCACTGGGGGCCCACTGACCACCCTGCTAAGAAATCCTGCGTGGTGCTCCTCCGTGTGCAAATACATTTCGCTTTTCAGGTTCTTGCACTGCCTCAGTTGGGTGGGTTTTCCTGTCCTTTGGGATGGTTTTTCTCCCTTCACTAGTGTGAGAGACTCCAGAGGACAAGAATCATATGCCTTTCCCCTCAATACCACCATCCATTTGACCGGCCACCAATGTGTCCCCAAGGCATGGAAGCTGAGTGCCCCATGGAGCTGGCTGTATAGATGAAGGGTATGCCAGGAGACTCCTGCCACTCCAGGACAACCAGTTGCTCCCCTGAGAGGCCCCACTCTCAGGCCATCCTCTGGGAGGAGTGACCCAGGGGCTGACATTCACTAAACCCTCCAAGAGACAGAGCAGCTGTGGGCACCTGGTGTCAGCCCAGACAGTTCTGAAACCCAGGACTAGGAAAAGACAGAGTGTGGGCTGAGGACACATCACCCCGTGAAGTTTCCAAAGGGGAACCTCAACCCAAAGACATTCCCATAAGCTGTTTGTGCCTAGGAAAGATAAAAAGAGAAGAGGCACAAAGATTTTATTAAAGCAAAGTGGCAGGTGGTTATTCTCTGCTTCCCTGTCATGTGAAATGCTCAGAAACAGAAAACAAATATTTTCCAAAGCCATCCATTGCTTCTTGAAAAAACATGATAAAACAATGAAAATACTGTGTCTGTTAGAAATAGACACTAAAAGACAAATCGTTGATAATGTTGTGAATCGGAGAGGGGAAGTTGGCATCTGGGAATGAAGGGAAGGAGATGGAAATTTAGGATTTTACTGCAAGCCCTAGAAGAGTTCGGCTGGTGGAACTGGGTTGAGGATTTGACGCAGGGGAAAACTAGTCTCCCTGGGAGAGTGTTAAAAATAATTAATTGGGAGGTAATCTCATGAAGTGGCCGTGGTTTCCGATTGAAAGAAACCAAAATCGAACTCAAATGAAATTCTAATAAATTACCTATTTATAAAGAAACGAAATTTAGGCTTAACAAACCACAACCTCCAATGAACCCTTTTGACTACACAATCAAAAAATTTCCACCAGGCTAGACCGACGAAGCCGACTACATCACAGTAAGCAATGAAGTATGGAACTGGGTTTGCTTCCGCATGCCCCTTGAAGCCTTTCCTTCGAGCCCCTCCACTGGGCCCCCAAACCATGACTGGGTGTTTCTCCTTCGTGAATCGCTGTTTGCTCAAATAAACTCTTTCATTTTTAACACTGCCTCAGTTTAATTTTTAAAAGCAGAAAGGAGAGACTGGGAACCCCAGAGACCTCATCCCTGCCCATGCACGACCTCCGCATACCTAGTCGCGACCCTCGCCCGATGACCCTCCCGCCGTCACCGCACAATCTGGGGACACGCGGGGCTGCGGCCGCGGAGCCTCCCAGACAGGGCGCCAGGGCCGAGGTCGCCGCGCAGGGACAGGACAGGACACCCGGGGGCCCGGCTGCCGGCCCAGCCCCACCCCCCTGGCCGGAGGGATCGAGGGGCGAGCTGCGCCAGCGGCGACTCGGGTCCGCAGACTCCGGGGCGGACCGTGGGGAGGCCCGGGTCCCGCCACAGCCGGTTCCAGCCGGTTCCAATCGCCCCTCCTCCCCGCCTGGGGACGCCCGGACCCGTACACTCACCATTTCCCGGCTCCCGGGGTGTCCCGGCGTCCTCCCTGCGGCTCCCGCGACCGGTGCAGGTCACGGCGCCACAGAGACTGCAGCAGAGACACCGGGGCCTCCCGGGGAAACGGAGACGGGAGCCTGAGGGGGGCGGGCGCAAGAAACAAAGGCTCGGTGGGGTGGCGCCAGGCCCCGCCCTCCTCTCCGGGGGCGCGTCTGATTAGACAGTTCTCAGGGCCCCGCCCAACTCCCCTGATTGGATAGTGCGTCAGGCCCCGCCCCCAAGGCCTGAGTGACGTGAGAAGCGATCCGAAACCAAGCTGTGTGGAGCTGGGTTGACAGGTTCTAGCCCCTGCCCCTCAGTCCCGGCTTCCTCCCCACATCCCGCCGCAGGGGTACTTGCATTTAAGCAGAACTCGCTCCTCCTGGCTCCCCAGAAGGGGCTCTGTCGTCTTCCTGCACCCAGTGGGGTCTTCCTTCTTCTTCCTCTTGGACACGGGGTCACAAGGGTGTGCAGGGAATTCCAGACTCACTGTGCAATGAATGGAGCCATCATGTCCTTGCTCCGGAGCAGGAAGGGAGTCCAGACAGGGCCAGGGAAGACTGGGCAAGCCAGATGTCATCCTGGGGTCAGGAATGTGGGATGAGGCATGCCAAGGAGGACACACCCTCCTGTCCCTGAAAAAAAGCTGCACGTGGAAAACAGGACACTCTCTGTGGGATGAGACCCGAAGTAATGTATGGTATAAAAAATCAGGTAGCTGGGAGGCCGACGCGGGCGGATTGTTTGAGCTCAGGAGTTCGAGACCAGCCTGAGCAAGAGCGAGACCCCGTCTCTACTAAAAATAGAAAGAAATTAATCGGACAACTAAAAATATATAGAAAAAATTAGCCGGGCATGGTGGCGCATGCCTGTAGTCCCAGCTACTCGGGAGGCTGAGGCAGGAGGATTGCTTGAGCCCAGGAGTTTGAGGTTGCTGTGAGCTAGGCTGATGCCAGGCACGGCACTCTAGCCCGGGCAAAAAGAGTGAGACTCTGTCTCAAAAAAAAAAAAAAAAAAAAAAAGTCAGGTTGGAGGATTCATGGAAGATGGCAGAAGAGGAATCAGTGACAAGGTGCCTTCCCGCTTAGAAATCAACTGCGCTGGCTGACGGATGTAGCTATTCTGGAACTGTGGAGTCTATTGAGACTTTGCAACTTCTAGGAAAAGGACTGGTGGATAAATTGTGGTTGGTTTTGGTCAATTTCAACTTAGTTCAATGGAAAGCTACCCATCCTTCCCTCACAGCTCCATAGCAGCAGCTATGCGTGAGTTCCACCAGCACCTTGAACGCAGCTTTCGGGGGCCAGGGTGGGCAAAAAGGACCCTGTCATCCAAATATTGGGAATCTGTGCTCTGCTTGCTAATAGCTGCTTCTGAGCAGAGAGGTGCAAGGAGGCGACTGGCCACTATTGTTGCAGCTCCCCCCATTGTTAGAAAGCCCTTTTCCTCCTAACGGAAAATAAAAGGCACTAGTTGCCCTTTATATCATCTGATGTGGCTTCCAGGTGATATAAAGGGCTGATGACTTTTATTTTTTCCCTTAATTTATTTCTTTTCATCCTGGGAGCCAGACATTGAAGGTTAGATTATTCAAATGCAAGCACATAGGCCAGTGCGGTGGCTCAAGCCTGTAATCCCAACACTCTGGGAGGATGAGGAGGGACGATCCGGAGGATCGCTTGAGGTCAGAGGTTCAAGACCAGCCTGAGCAAGGGTAAGACTCCCGTCTCTACTAAAAAATAGAAAAATTAGCCGAGCGTTGTGGTGAGCTCCTGTAGTCTCAGCTACTCAGGAGGCTGAGTCAGGAGGCTCGCTTGAGCCCAGGAGTTTGAGGCTGCAGTGAGCTACAATGACACCATTGCACTCTACCCAGGGTGACAGAGTGAGACTCCGTCTCAAAAAAAAAAAAAAGGTAAGGCCATTTAAATTACTGAGTATTAGGACTAAAAGAAAAACAAGTGAAGGAAAGTGAAGAGAGCCTAGGAGATCTGTAGGGTGCCACTAAGAAGATGCGGGTGTCCCAGAAGGAACATAGGGAAAGAAAGGCTAAAAAGACTACTTGAGCAAATAATGCCTGAAAAGTCCCCTACTGTCATGATGTAAAAAAATCTATAAATCCCCAAAACTCAACTCAACCAAAGTAGGATAAACTCAGAGACCCACAGTGAGACACATTATAGTAAAACTGTCAAAAGACAAAGAGAGGATCTTAGAAGCATCACAAGAGTAGCAACTCATCACACACAAGGGATCTTTGATGAAATTGTCACCACATTTCTTATCAGAAATCTCAGAGACCAGAAAGTAATAGATTTATATATTTAAAATGTTGAAAGGAAAAAAAAAAAGAACTCTCAACTGAGAATTCTATACCCAGCAAAACTGTCCTTAAAAAAATGAGTGAGATATTAAGAAATTCCCAGATAGACAAAAGTTGATGGAGATTATTACCACTAGACCTGTCCTGCAAGAAATGCTGAAGGAAATTCTTTGAGATGAAATGAAAGGATGTGAGACAATAACTCGAGCACATAAAGACATACAGATGTCCAGCATAAGTAACTACATGGAGAAATATAAAAGACAGTATTATTGTAATTATGATTGATAACTCTATTTGGTATTTTCTACGTGGCTTTAAAAATATTAACAAATGCATTTTAATCTAAGCACAGTGGTGCATGCCTGTAGTCCCAGCTGCTCAGGAGGCTGAGGCAGGAGGATCACTTGAGGCCAGGAGTTTGAGGCCAACCTGGGCATCATAGCGAGATCCCTTCTCTACAAAAAAAATATAAAACTCAACTGGGCATGGTGGTGTGCTCCTATAGTCCCAGCTACTTGGGAGGCTGAGCAGGAGGATCATTTGAGCCCAGGAGTTGGAGGCTGCAGTGAGCTATGATCATGCCACTGCACTCCAGCCTGGGTGACAGAGCGAGACCCTATCTCCAAAAAAAAAAAAAAAAGCAGACAGAATGGGTGCTCAGCAAGGGGAGTGGACAGAGTGCCCATTGGTGTCCTTGACTATGAGGTAGGTCATTGTGAAGCTCTCAGCTGAGTCGGAACTTGGAGGGTTCCTTCCTGCTCTGGGTATGGTTCAATCCAGCCCATCTGCCCATCCTCCTGTGCCTGCTGACAGCCTTGCTGCAGGAGACACACCAGAACTTCTCAGCCTGCTCTTCCCAGATGCTTCACCTGAACCCAGGACAGAGGCAGCAGGAGCTGGAGTGGATAGTGGGATCAGTAACCATGGGGTCAGTGGGCACAGGCTGGGATGAAAAGTAGGGCAGGGTAAGGTAGGACTTGGGTGGAGATCACCTTCCTGCCATCCAAACTAGCCCAGCGATGGCTAGGGCAGAGAAGCCATGAGTTGCTTTGCCATGATGCTGGTGACGGATGTTTCTACACTGGTAGCTAGAACTGGTAGGACTTGGAGAGGACGTGGGGCTGGGGGCAGCATGATTGCCTCTAGAGAGTAACAGGTGCTTGTGTCGATCACGCGAGTGTTGGAGGAAAGAGGCCCCCACAGGCAGTAAGCAGGGACAGACCCCACCACACCTCCCCCACTTGAGATTATTGACCCACCTGGACACTAGCCAGACTGAATCGCTGACTGCAAATGACAACAGTTAACATCTCTGTTTCCATCATGAGCACCAGCCTGACCCTCCACAACCATGCCGTCCTCCCATTCTCCAGACTGGAAATCGGGCCCTCCCGCTGTGCACCACCACCCCACTAAGTCGATATTTCCATCTCCTCTGTGTCCCACGTGCGCACTGGGGCAGGCATGGGGGGGGCCAATCTCCCCAACACCCTCATACACACGGTGGGAACGTGCAGCTCACGGGTGCTGACTGATGGCTCCCCAAGGGGCAGCCATCAATGGCCCTATTGAGTGAGGCTCCTAGTGAGTGAGGCAGAGCCCCAACCAGGCCAAGAGCGGCTTACCAAGCCTTTACCTGGCTCCTGCGTAGGGCTACCCAAAGACCCGTCCTCTGAGAATCCTTCCAGAGCAGACTCGGTTTGCAATTTCCCAGGGAAGCCGGCGGCTCATCACGTTATCCTACAAACCTCTCAATCCTGGCGCTTCTCACTCATCCTGCCCCCGGGAATTCCTCTGGGGCAGTCTCTGGCTGGATATAGTAGGATCCGCCCAGTACTCAGAGGGGTGAAGGAAACATTTATTTGTTCATTAGGAAAGAAACGGGATCTGCAGGTCAGGCTGTGGCCACGCGGGGGCAGCAGTGGACAGGTCAAAGCGTCGGAAACGGGCGCTCAGGCTGGTGGAGTCGCTGCGGCAACCCCAATGCTTCCCTGGCCAAGACAGCCGACCCCCGCCTTGCACCGTCCCCCGTTTTAAAAGAGGGGGCTCCATGACCCAGCTTCACACACTTAACCCACCCTCTCAGCGGCCAACGCCCCACAGCCCAACAACTGGTGGACATTATGGAAAACATAAGTCACATCAGTCCCTCCTCCGTTCAGAACCCTCCATGACTCCCACCTTACCAGGAGTAAAAGCCCCCTTCCCCGCAGCACCCAAAGCCCCACAGATTTGCGCCACCCACCCCCTCCTCACCTCCCTGCCTTCATCCCCGCCCTTCTTCTCCCCTGTTCACTCTGCTCCAGCCACAAAAACCTCAAATCAAACAAACTCACCACACTGCGTGGGTGTTCTCACCTTTGGCTAGAAAATTCCATCTTTGTGGTTCCTTTGTAAATGTGTAGTCAGCAGGTGGCTCAGGCCTGTAACCTGGAGGTGGGAGGATGGCTTGAGGCCAGGAGTTGGAAACCAGCCTGGACAATATAGTGAAATCCTCTCTAACAAAAAAAAAATTTTAAATAAATTATACCTTTAGAAACACAGTTTCCCTTAAGCCTTTAGTTACACTCACAATTAACTATCACGTTACTTATACACTTTATAAAGTGGATCATCACTTTCTAAGAGGCCATTGGATACATATTTGGGTCCAGCTACAAGACTAGTGGATTGAAATCACCTAAATGTTTTACATTAATAAATGTGATGCAATCACTTCTCAGCCTTTTGGCTAAGATGAAGTGTATAAACGTGACGCATTTTATTCTTTTTAAATGTCTCCACCAAGCAAACACTTGTGAA